TTAGAAGGCTATTGTGGATTTGGGTTTCCAGAGGCTTTAAAACTGGTGTAATGTGCGCCTGCCCTCTGGTCCTCGTCAACACTCGTGTCATACTATGCTATGACTGTTTTTATGAATTTTTCGACATACAATACTATGACATTTCTTTCAATGAATTTTTATGACATACTATACTATGACATTTTTTATGAATTTGACATACTATACTATGATATTTATTATGAAATTTTTCAACATACTATGACATTTTTTTCTGAAATTTTTCAACATACTATAATGACATTTTTTTTCTCGACATACTATACTATGACATTTCTTATGAAATTTTTCAACATACTATAATGACATTTTTTTAAATGAAATTTTTCAACATACTATACTATGACATTTTTATGTTGTTTTTTCTCGACATNTTTTTTTAATGAAATTTTTCGACATACTAAACTATGACATCTCTTATGAAATTTTATGACTTTATTTATGAAATTTTTAGACATACTATACTATGACATTTCTTATGAAATTTTATGACATTTTTTAATGGGATTTTTCGACATACTCTACTATGACCTTTTTAATGAAATTTTTCGACATACTATGACATTTGACATACTGTACTATGACATATCTTATGACATTTTTCGACATACTATACTATGACATTTTTATGAAATTTTTGACATAATATACTATGATATTTCTTATGAAATTTTTTGACATACTATACTATACTATACTATGACATTTTTTATGATTTTTTTTGATATATTATGCTATGACTGTTTTTATGAATTTTTCGACATACTATACTATTTTTCTTATGAAATTTTTCGACATACTATACTATGACAATTTTTAAGAATTTTTTTTTACATCAAATCAAATAAAACTTTATTTGTATAGCACTTTTCATGCATTAAAAATTCAGCACAAAGTGCTTCACAGAATAGAAACATACAACAAAAATATTACATACATACTGAAAACCCGCCCCTCCCACCCCCACATATAAACACACTCACACACACACACACACACACACACACACGGTCAATATAGTCAATAACATGGCTGGGCACTGAGGAACCAGGTGAGGAAAGGACCACCTATGGGGAGCTCACCCACACTGAGAGGTGTCACAGCCTACGGCCATAGGGAGCGCCGCCACAGAGACCACCTGGGGTGGACTCCACACATGGTGCAGAGCCCCCCCAGTCCTCCGGACCTGAGGGATCTCCAGGACGACGTCCCCGCGGGCAGACCGGGCACACCTCTCAGCGTGGAGGCCCCCATGAGGAAACACTGGAACTAAAAACTAAAAAACTAAAAGGCAATATGATAAGATAAAACAAGTATCAGATAAAATAATAAATAAATAAATAAATGAAGATTTAGAAACTTAATAATAATAATAATAATAATAATAATAATGCATAAAAATTTAAAAATAAATCATTTAAATGCATTAGAAATTAAAATAACATATAATGTAAGAATCAAAAGAGTAAAATAAATCAGTTAAAAGCCAAACTAAAAAGGTGAGTCTTAAGCCTCCTTTTAAAAACATCAACAGTCTCAGCAGTCCTGAAGCTCTCCGGCAGGCATTTCCACAAGTGAGGGCCATAATGGCTGGATGCAGCCTCCCTGTGGGTTTTTGTTCTAACTTTTGGAACAGTTAAAAGGCCGGTGCTGGAGGACCTCAGGATCTGCGAGGGTTGATATAATAAAAGCAGGTCAGATAAATAAGATGGCCCAAGACTGTTAAGACATTTAAAAACTAATAAAAGAACCTCAAAATCGATCCTGAAACACACGGGGAACCAATGCAGCGATTTTAAAGCCTTTGGAAACACAGCTTGAAATAGTAAAAATGCATATATTATATCAAAGTCGAGTGTCTCATTAATCATTCACAAAAGTCTGAGTGAAAATAACCATTAATAACTATTAGAAAACCTGGTTTAAAAACAGCTCATTTTGCTGTTTAGACCACTTGCCAGGACAGAGTGGGCGTGGCAGATAACGCTCTGATTGACATCTCCCTGGCTCAGCAATGGCTGCCACAAATTTAATCCAGCCGTACATGTTTGAGCCCTCTGATGATTCAGAGGACGAAGCAGAAGCTGAAAATTATTCCTTTCAGGTGGTCACTGAATGGTAAGTTTCAAAATGTTTCGTGATTCATATTAATGTTACTTCGTAGAACGTACAGCGTAGCGTCGCGGTGTATTCATTTGTGCTCCACTGACTACGTACGGAAGGGACACGTAGAGAAACCAGCGGGGTTGTTTACCGTTTGCTGAGCCAAGAGGCTGCATGTAGGCTGCATGAAATGTTAAAGCATTTTCCACCTAAGTTATTACATATATTTGAGTTATCTACAAGTTTACTGTACTGTTTGTCATCTACTCGCTTTCAAATGTCCGCCACGGACACAGTGTCATGGATAAACAATAGAAGAGCCCCGTAAAATAGAGTTGTCGTGCCGCTCTCGTTGCCAGTGGAGCCGCTGTAATTGATTAACAGGGGGGCGAGCTGCTACAGGACTCGCGCTGCAGACGTGCCCGGTTGAGCCCGGCCGTTAGCTGAGATGAATGACAACGGGAGGCTAGCGCTTTGCCTTTCTTCATTGAGATAGGTTTTCATTGAAAACATAAATCTGCTCCGTTTTTCTGATAATAGCCTTTTTTATTCAAACACATCCAGTCTTAATAGATTAAATATGTCTTTACTCTGACACACACACCGACCCTCAAAGCGGGAGAGACCGGTGCCGGCCGGCCGTCTCCCTGGCATTGTGTAGAAGTATTTGCCCGCCTCGAATAATGTTCCCCTCCGGCTGAAATTGTGTTGTTTCCCGCAGTATCACCTCCGCGATTGGGGATATGTTTATGCGTAGCAAAGCTAACTGCGTGGGGTTAGGGGTGAGGAAGGGTGCACATTACGTCCCCTCCCCGCGAGCCGACACGGGCACCGGGCCCGGGGGGCAAGCCCAGCCGCTCACAAGCCACCTCTTCCTGCAGCTCCACGAGTTGCAAAGGCTCGGATTGTCCGGGCTCTGGAGCCGGTCAACCTGATTCGAGTGCTGCTGGGAGCCCGTTGGAGGCAGAGCCTCCGCTGGGTCGCAGCCGAGCGGTTCAGCCAGTTTACGATCTGTATTTTCTAAACATCAGACTAGAAAGAGGAGTTGGCTCAGACTCAAAGAGGCAGATTTAGCTGTAGCAGAAAGGTTTTGTTGCGCTGCCACTGGGGGGCGGGATGAGACAACTGACTGATGATTTATGATTGGTTTGGAAGTTATTGCGTAATAAATCTCAGAGATAACCAAATCAAACCCAATTTCAAGAATGTACAAAAACTTAAAAGACAGATATTTCGCATTTGGATGGAAACAGATTTCTAATTGTTTTACATGTTTAATATTATGTAAATAAGACCCTAAATTACATAGTTAGAAGGCTATTGTGGATTTGGGTTTCCAGAGGCTTTAAAACTGGTGTAATGTGCGCCTGCCCTCTGGTCCTCGTCAACACTCGTGTCATACTATGCTATGACTGTTTTTATGAATTTTTCGACATACAATACTATGACATTTCTTTCAATGAATTTTTATGACATACTATACTATGACATTTTTTATGAATTTGACATACTATACTATGATATTTATTATGAAATTTTTCAACATACTATGACATTTTTTTCTGAAATTTTTCAACATACTATAATGACATTTTTTTTCTCGACATACTATACTATGACATTTCTTATGAAATTTTTCAACATACTATAATGACATTTTTTTAAATGAAATTTTTCAACATACTATACTATGACATTTTTATGTTGTTTTTTCTCGACATACTATACTATGACATTTTTTATGAAATTTTTCAACATACTATACTATGACATTTTTTTCTGAAATTTTTCAACATACTATAATGACTTTTTTTTTTCTCGACATACTATACTATGACATTTCTTATGAAATTTTTCAACATACTATAATGACATTTTTTTATGAAATTTTTTGACATACTATACTATGACATTTTTTATGATTTTTTTTACATACTATACCATGACATTTTTTTATATATATTATACTATAACATTTCTTTCAATGAATTTTATGACATACTATACTATGACATTTTTTTTAATGAATTTTTATGACATACTATACAATGGCATTTTTATGAAATTTTTCAACATACTATACTATGATATTTCTTATGAAATTTTTCGACATACTTTACTAAGACATTTTTTAATGAATTTTTATGACATACTATACAATGACATTTTTTAGGAAATTTCTTGACATACCATACTATGACATTTTTTCTGAAATTTTTCAACATACTATGACATTTTTTATGACATTTTTCGACATACTATACTATGACATTTTAAGATTTTTTTTTTACATACTATACTATAACATTTCTTTCAATGAATTTTTATGACATACTATACTGACTTTTTTTAATGAATTTTTATGACATACTATACAATGACATTTTTAATGAAATTTTTCGACATCCTATACTATGAAATTTCTTATGAAATTTTTCGATATACTTTATTACAACATTTTTTAATGAATTTTTATGACATACTATACAATGACATTTTTTTATGAAATTTCTCGACATACTATACTATGACATTTCTTATGAAATTTTATGACTTTATGAAATTTTTCAACATACTATGATATTTCTTATGAAATTTTTCGACATACTTTACTACTACATTTTTTATTAAAGTTTTTGACATACTATGCTATGACTTTTTGTTCATGTATTTTATGACATAGTATACTATGACCTTTTTTATGAAATTGTGCAACATACTATACTATGACTTTTTTATGTCATGTTTAATGACATGGAATACTATGTGTTTTTAATGACATACTATGAATTGTGAATTGTGATTGCACACCAGAAACATGATATGTCAATACATGCCTAGAAGATGACAGAACTCACCGTAAGCCATGGGGGTCAACTTCAACACTGTATGCAAAGGACACTTAAGATAAGGCAACTCTGCTGTGGAGACAGAGACACAAAGTTATGGAACATCTTGAAAGTTTCAGGGTCATATTTTCATTTAAGGCTGCTTATGGCGCTTTTCAATACTTTGCCTGGTGTATATCATAAATCAGCAAATAATCTGAAGCAGTTTATACACTTTAAAATGTTCATATCGCCTATTGTAAGTCCGTCATACCTGCAGTCTTGTCCAGGAAATATGCAAGAAGACAACGCATGACGGCCTGGTGACAAACAACCAGAACATTCTCCTGTCTCTCCAACTCCATGATCACAGGCTCCAGTCGCTGCACCAAGTCTTCATAAGACTGATGGATAATCACAGACCCATCAAAAACACACCATGTTCAGGACACACACAAACACAATCACCTCTAAAGAATAACAATGAGACATTGTGAAGAATCACATTCTCACCTCTCCTTTAGGATAGCGGTAGCGGTACTTGTCTTGGTCTCTCAATGCAAACTCCAGAGGGTAATGCTCTTGGATCTCCTCATACATCATCTCCTCACACACACCCTTTGTAAAGAGGGAAGACGATGTGTTTAGCTTGAGTAAACACAAGCCTAAAAAAGTGATTGCATTCATTTTGATGAACATGGGAATCAACGTACAGCATCTATTTCATTGAGTGACTTCCACTGTTCGTATGGCACCCCAAGACACTCCGCCGTCTGGATTGTCCTCTTCATCTGGCTCGTCCACACCTTTAGATCTTTGATGTTCTGGTCCTGGATGAATTTCCCCAGACTTTTGGCAAACTAGAACACAAGAGACCAAAACATCCAATGAGAACAATGTTCTCTCTTCATGGAACCATACCAATATACATTTTTGACGACATTCAAACTTGTACATTACATAAACACACACCTCTTTTCCTCTGGCAGACAAGCCAGAATCTCCTCCAATCCGTCCCTTGATGTTGAGGTCGCTCTCCCCGTGGCGACTCAGGTAGATGGAGCGTGGCGTGATGTGGATGTTCATCAGGTAGTAGACGATTCGGCTTTGGATGTGGTCAAGGACGCGGTTCACCAGGTAACGACGGCCCACATCCATGATCTTTATGTAGGACAGATCCCTGGAGCAGGAGAGTCAAGCTAACTTCAGCGATCTTGAGGAGTTAATTAAAACTGATCTGGGTAATTTTGTATTTCTTTACCTGTCCAGAACTTCGTCCAGAGGCTGGTAGGAGGACTTGTAACACTCGATCCTCTTCATGAAGTCCTCAATGGCCTCCTCTGTGTTGCAGTGTATGTAGTCTGGGCTGCCCAGCTTAACTTGCTACAAAGACAGAAACACGGGGAGAGGAAGTGAGCTGAGGTAAAAGGAAATTAGCCGTCTGACATGACTTAGCCTTTTACCACACTGAGTTTGTTTGTTTAGATCTCAACCTTGAAAGTCTTCTTCATATTATCAATTTCATGGTAAACTGCTCTTGGCTTTGGACTTAAATGCCAGTGTGACAACACCCAAACACACACAGGTTCTTTGCAATATAACATTATCATATGCAAGAAGGAGTGAACATATCAGATATCACTTATGTCAACCATTGTTTCAAAATAAACACAATGCATTGTTTGCTAATTGTATTTTCAATGATCCATACTGCATAGAATAAAAAGAGACAAAGCTTACCACTATATTTTGTGCAATAACATCTGGGTCCTCACACACAGACTCCACGAAAAATACCTGCAATGACAAAACAATGTAATCAACTTAGAGTCCATCAAGTCAGAATGTCTGACTTAAGTCAATAAAACTCTGCCTTATTCATCACACCTTGAACCCATTCTGCTCCGCGAACTTCACAATGGTCCCTCTCCTTTCCCTTGTCGTATTTGTGGCATCAAACACCTGAAACAGCACAAACAAACACTCTCATGCAGCCCTGAGATATGTCAATATTATGATTAAATGCCATGGAGAACTTGAAGACAGCATCAAGGACTCACCGCCACCTGTCCTCCTTCGACACTCAGGTACTGCCGAACATCATTAAGTGCTGCCAACGCACACTGACTGTGGAAGGACAAAAGGCATCGGGTCAGTGTCTAGTAAAGATTTATAACACTCTCTTTGACTCTGATGAAAATGCAGTGGTGTTAAAGCATTAATCTGTTTGCACTATTAAAGGCTGTAAATTGATCAGTGTGCTCTGGTCTTTTCTTATCCCGTGGAAGTTCTCTGTTCTTGACCTGAGAGGCACCTGATGCAGATGTACATTCCTGGATGATGCACAGGGAACCCTGTTTCAACACCCTAATGCTTCATTTGTTAACCAGTATTTATATATGTAAGGGTTAATGCCCGACGAGGTGTCCATTATCAGGAACTAATGGACGACGCAGAGGCGTGAACCGTCCGACGCGAAGCGGAAGAGTTTTTCACAAGCCACAGCTGAGCGGACTATTTAATCTCTGTAGTTGACAGGCGTTACCATGGAAACCCGCTGTGGCCGCAGCATAGAGAGCATAGCGACTCTGATCAGTGAAGGGAAGTGAGATGATGGCTAAAAGTTACGTGATATTATTCAGAAGATGATTATTTCAGAAAGCCAGTGCACTTCTTACTGCTTGTGTGTTACAGACTCTGGTGGTCAGAGGATGACATGCAAAAAAACCCTTCTGATATTACTTTCATGATTCAGTGGAGTTCATTTATAGGCCCAAGAAAATTTGTTTCAAATAACCAACATCCAAATAGTAGGCTAGTCAAAATCGTTTTTAATTCCAACAAATAATTCATAAGCATATAGTAGTCGAGATTAAATCATATAAACACATTAACAAATTAAAGATTGTTTCCTATTTAAAATTAAATGCTACATTACCTTTAATAGTGAAATTATAAAGTGATATGGGTATGTCCATCATAGTGGCATTTGAAGGACGGAGATTGACAGATTGAGCACTGCTTCTTGGGACATTTGGAGACGACAAGATGTTGCTCCAGTCTCGTCTCTCCTGCGCTGACGGAGCCCAATAAGCCTGCAGGCTGCTCTCACACCGATGTCCCATGACGGTCATGATCTGATGAGTTTCCAGGTGTCTCATCTTCTAAATTATTTATTTCTTCCGGTGTCACCTCCTTGTGCCATTTCTCCCTTTTCTTTTCATTCTCTAACCTCTCTTCTGCATCCCTGTCATCAAATTTATCAAATTCACCAAATAAATTAAACGATAAAATCACTCATGATGCCCATTGTAATCCGTTGCCTCTGCTCTGACTCTCTGTTGCTATGGTTACAAACTAGCAGTTGAGCCAGCGCAATAATTTCGAACCTGTCATCAGGCAATTTGACTGCAACGTCTTTTAAGCTGTCCTATAACACTTTTTAACGGACACCCTGCAGCCAATCAGAATTGAGTATTCAGCCAGACCATGGTATAAACAGTATTAAAAGACAACTGATTAATTGGTTAAGCTGATTAATCAGTGCTGATGAGACATTTCACAAACTGTCGTTATGGCTGATGGCCACGCAGCCTCGGAGGGTTGTGTTAAATCAAGCAAAAAGGAGCCTCATCAGTGGATTCAGCTCCAGAGAAAGCAGGCCACTACTGGTGTTGGTATATTGTTCTTCATTTCAAGATGTTTATACGTTATTTTTTTGGTTGATATTGGTCAATTAACCCTTTTAAAACCTGAGCAAATCGCCTCGATTCTTTCAAAAACACGAGAGGAAGAAGGCAATGAGCAATGAAAGACGAAATGACACAAAAAAATAGCAAGAAAATTAATAAAAGGAAAAAAAAATTGTAAAAAAAAAAAGAAAGAAAAAGAAAAAAGAAGGAAAATGTTAAAAACAATCAAACAAGGAAATGATTTAAAATGTAAAAATAATAATTATAAATATAGTTCTTCCATAGTTTTTTAAAATAATTTTCTAAATCTATTCTTTATTTATTTTTGCAATTCGAGAGACATTTTCTCACCATCATTGCCCTTTTCCCCATATTTTTGAGAGAAATTGCGCCAATTTTCTCAATATTAAAAGGTATAAATACTTCCATAAGGAGTCTGAAAGCAGCACAAGAAAAGTGACGCCACTCCAGGTTTCAAAGGGTTGATTGGCTGTCTGCTTTTTCCTGCTCCAAACTATTATTATATTAGCCTTAAAAAAAATCCATGGTCAACTTGTATATATTTCATTTAAGCAGACAGACAGCAAGAAGTTCAACAAGCTCAAGGTGGAAGGACATGGTAAAAAGGCTTTCAATGATAGAAAATGACTCATAACATTAAAATCATAATTAAGAATTATTACGAAAACAGTGTGTGTGCACAGTAAGTCAAACTTGAACCAGAAAGTAACTCTCAAAATCTGGTAGGCAAACACACAATTTGGGCGATATCATTAACACTTACTTATATTTTAATTTCTACATAAACAGTTTAGGGCCTAAAAATACTTTTTTTCTTCAGTGGTCTACAGAATTATTTAAGAGAATATACCTTGTAGACATCTGATCTATAGACACAGTTGCAGAGGATTCAGATGGCACTGTAGTATTATGTAATAATTAAATATAAAGTGTATATCAGGGTGCTCAACCGTGTGCTGTAAAGAGCCAAAAGTCTGCAGGATTTCATTCCATCTAATCACCTCAGCAGGTGACTTCACAGATGACCTTCGTCCTACTTGATGGAGTCATCAGTGGATAAAGTCTTTTGTTGAAGTGAAAACCTTAAGACTTTTGGTTATTAATCACTCATGATTGTCCAATCACTGTGGACTTACCGTCTGATTTTTAATCCCTCTTCATTATCTGGACGGAAGAACTCAAAGGATTTGTAGATCTTCAGACTCTCTCTCCGGTACTGGCCAACATTGAACTCTGTTACACAAGAAAATTTGGTGTTTTTTAAAACATGAGAATACAGCTGGTTTCCATTGTAAACTTAAATTTGAATATATATATGTGTGTTTGTGTGTGTGTGTGTGTGTGTGTGTGTGTGTGTGTGTGTCGGGGGTGTGGCTGTTACCTTTGGTTGGCACACCTATCCAGTTTAAGTAGCGTGTAAGCTTCTTTGAAATGTAAGTCTTCCCTCGGGCTGGAAGTCCCACAGTCACAATGAGGGTCGGGCAGTTCGTCATACACACTGTGAGACAGAAAAACACAGACTTTTAATTTAACTCACTTCTAACACGTTTAATTCACTGAGCATGGCTTGTCAACATTACTCCATTCAGGAGGAGTTTAATTAGTCTTGAATGTTGCTCGTAATTACAGCAGACACTCTGAACACTTGGAAAGATTTCAGCTCACTCTGTGTGACAGTGACATACATTGCTACAGAAAATCACCCGGCAGAGAGCAGAGACATCTTTACCACGACAACTGAGACACATGCTTCTCTCAATGCCAAAACATCTCATCAGCAGTTCGGGTTTATGCCCTGTTGGAGCTCGAAACTACATCTTAACAAGAATGAGAAAAGATGATTGGATGATATATGAACAAACAAATGGATATAAGGGTGAGACGAGCATGTGCATGTAGACAGCACAGGGTCAGGTTTTCATTTTGTCAGCCGTCACAGACTTTCGACAGAGCCAGAGGCACACGCTGGTTAATTAAGGACAGCACCATGTTGTGCAACAAGAGGGGTCAGGTTTGATCTCTGCATGCCGTATAGAGCCCCCGAGTTCTTGGCAACAATGAAGCTGTATCTAAAAAGTTGAAGATGTATGTATCCTTAACAAAATTTAAAATGCTCTCTCTGGGTTCACAACTATTACTCAGGAATATCAACACACCAAAGCAAATAATTTCACCTAATTTCCTGATTTGTTTTTAAAATTAGAACTGTAGTTTTTTTTTCAAGAACTAGCTCAAAATGCCAAACCTCTCTCAAAGGAAAAACAAACATTAGGGGTCAGAACCCGGCACATTCCCTGCAGGACAGCATCCTGCTCAAGTTCACAGAGACACTCCTTCACCTCTCAGACTGTAAAGGAAAAAGGGTTCAGGAGTTATTTCTTAAGAGTCTCTTGCAGTGAGTCATTTATACAACTAGGAACAAAACAATTAGATGTAAAGTTTAGGAGAGGTTTGGTGCCAGATGCAATATAAATCAATGAATAAAACAGAGCTTGACTCAGCAGAAGACGACTACCACAGCTCACACCAACATGTTAACACCCACAAAATCGATGTGTTCAGGTCATGTGTCTCTCATGTGGACAAGCTAGACATGATTCTCCCTAAGCGCGATTTAAATCCATGCATGTCATATAAGGAGGGGAAATGAACCAGATAAGCTGATGCAACACTGCGTGGCACAAAAAGCCGACAGCATCCAGCGCTTTGTTGGTGCGCAACATCTCCAACAGCCGCGCGTAAATGTCACATAACGGAAAACCTTTAACATCAAAGACAGGCTGGACCCATGGATNCCCCCCCCCCCCCCCCCCCCCCCGCCCAATCATGTCCCAGTCCCATCCTTTGCGACACTTGCCGGCCAGCTGCATCTTACCCCGTCTGTGAGCTATGTGCCCGTTTTTGTGCGGCATCCAGATCTTCCTGAGCGGGTTCTGCATGAGCTCCCGCGGGGAGGTCTCCACCATGAACTCCTCGTTGTCCAACATCCTGGATGTTGGATCACTAATGGTGCCCTCCTGATGTGAGAATGAGGCGGTGGGCTGCAGTCCTGGCAGTCTGATTCAGCAGGCTGCAGGGGGATGGATGTCTCATATCAGCTGAGAAACAGCAGTACCCCCCCATTACCGTAATGACTGGAGACTGAGCGCAGCACAAATTGAGGGAGCAAAAGAGTCGGGTACACGATGTTACTTTGCTTATCCGGCATTTCCATCGTGTTGTTTTAACCTCAACTAACTGCCTCCATTTGTATTTTCAGTTATTTATTTACATCGTGTTACAATGTTATCCCAGGCATCACAGACTTGTTTCATATTTAATTTATCTGCACATAAAAGCCTATAAATATCTAAAGACTGTGAAGGCACTTGTGTCACTGTGACATATTTCCTCAAATAAATAAATAGAAATATAATATTTGATAAAACAAACCAGACTCAAGGTCTACTTTGCCAGAGCTTTGAAAAATAAAGGAAATTTACCCAGTGCGTGGAGAATGTGAAACTATCACTCATTTCACAACGAAAGGAAACATTTTTTCTCAGTCATTATGTAAACAAATGAATAATTGGGCTATTTGCAGAGAGATTAAGTCGTGTGAACGGGAGGAGTTGTTATTGTTATCTTTTAAAGTGCACATTTCTGTACTGGAGAGTCTTGTGCTGCTTTACATTAGCCTATACTTTTTTGTGGTGTAAATGCAACTAACACGTTTCCTTTAATCTTGTTCACAAACATTTCCAGGCCATAAACAAACATCCTAATTCTCATTTCTAAGAAAACACACGGCTCTGCGTCCTTTGGAAAAGTTACCGTAATGACGAGGGAAACGAGCAAGAGAAACGCAAAAGCAGATGTTGAAGAAAAACAAGCGCCGGGCCTGTTCACATGGAGCACACATGGGCAGTGAATGCGGCTGAGAAATTGACCAATCAGAGAAGAGACAAGAGGCCCGGCACCCAATAGGAGAGGCGGACCGGGGATGAAGGAGGGCATGCTGTGATGCTGACTGCTGCTGAGAGCTCAGATAAACATCACAACGGCAATTACAGCAGCTTCATGGCTGACACCACCCAGTCACGGGCACCACAAAGTCCGGGTCACGCAGGCTTCATGAGGCAAAGTCAGCAACAACTTCAGCATCAGACGGTGTCAATACATTGTCAACCAAGGATTTAAATCAGCTGCTATTAAAAAAATGCAGGGCATCATTATTATTATCAGTCTATTATTATCACAATTATAATTGTTATTATTATTTAGGAGAAAGTTAAATCTATTATAGGAGTGACTATTTTCTTGATTACTGATTCATGGTTGGTCCATATAATAAATGAATTGTCCCAAGATTAAAGCATTGCTTGATCATTGTTGATAATTGATTCATTTAAGTTACTCTTTTAAGCTGCCTGATTCCAGCTTCTCAAATGTGATGATTTGCTGCTTTTCTCTGTTTAATATCATTGCGAATTGAATATGTTTGAGTTTGTCGAACAAAACAAGCCATTTGAAGATGCAATCGTGATAGATTATAATGGGCATACTGTAATCCCCAGTAGCCAAACATCCAGCTACTGCACTCAGTGTCTGTGGCATTGATAGAGTTAACCCTATAGACACAGACATACAGATCTGGAAATAAAACGACTGCAGTGTGACAGTCGATGGGTCTTTCTTCTTAAAACTGAACAGCCTTTAGGCCTGAATGAAACACTTTGTCCTGCTTTTATAGACATCTGCATGTACCAGCACGGCCCCTTTGGATATACTTTGTCATATTTTGTACTTTGTTTTTTTATTATTCTGTGTATAGTTGTGTTTTTTGTACATTTGTATATGCTCTGCTGTCGAAAATTAGTGTTTGAGGATGTTGTGAATAGTACAATACTTATTTGACAGTCAGGCCTCTGCTCCTCAGAGTCGATCTCATCTAGCTGACTGATTCATCACACCTAGCAGGAATCTGCGTCTGTATCTGTTCTGTGAAGCACTCATGTCAGTAGCATTGATGATAGTCAAGGGCTAAAACGTTTGCTGCTGTTTTCAGTCACATTTTATTATTTCTTTTTACTTTGAGAACCGTTCTTTTTGTGCACAGATGTCCTAAATAAATGTACTTTTGCACTGATCTCAGCCTGTGGATCTTTTTGTGGCTGTCCAGCCCAGTTGCATTGGTGTGCAGGTATCTCCTCTGCCATTTTTCTTGGTTGTAAATAGTACTGATGCACCAGAGATAAACTTTTTTGTTGCTCTGCGTAGGCGCAGTTTGAGACCATGCTGTATTTCTGACATTTTCTAGGAAACAACAACAACAACAACAACAACAACAACAACAACAACAACAACAGTGAAGGGGCAGTAGCTCAGTCCATAGGGACTTGGGTTGGGAACCGGAGGGTCGCCTGTTCGAGTCCCCGTCCGGACCAAAATATGGAGCATGGACTGGTGGCTGGAGAGGGGCCAGTTCACCTCCTGGGCACTGCCGAGGTGCCCTTGAGCAAGGCACCGAACCCCCCAACCACTCGGGGCGCCTCACCAAGGGCAGCCCCCTCACTCTGACATCTCTCCACTTTGTGCATGTATGGGTCCTGTTTGTGCATGTGTGTGTCTTTCTTCCTGTGTGTAACTGACAAGCAAGAGTGAAAACATTGAATTTTTCCTCAGGGGGATTAATAAAGTAAATAAACTTAAAGAATCGATCAGTCAGGGATTGTATTGCTATTATCATTTAAGAGAAAGTCAGCCACAGGAGAAAACAGTTTAATCTATTGTGTTGGCTTTAAAATAATCAATTGCTGAAACTAATGATTATTTTCATCATCAATTATCTGCTTTTTATTTTTCTGATTATTGATTCAACGGCTGGTCTATATAATGAATGAAATGAGAGGATTACTCAACTAACCATCTAATGACCAAAAAAACCAATTAATTTGATAAAAAAATAAAAATAAAAAAATAAGCAAAAACCTGATTTCAGCTTCCCAAATGTGAAGATTTGTTGCTATTCTGTGTTCAGTATCGTTGTGAATTTAATATCTTTGAGGTTTTGGACTGTTTGTCAGACAAAAACAAGCCATTCAAATAACCACCTTGAGAAACTATAAAATTTCCTAGGAAAAAAATAACACAATAAAGCTGTCAGGAAACAATCAGCACATTAATCCTCAAAGTAAACAATCCTTATTTGCAGCCCATAACAAGTTCTTAAGATGACACTATGGCCCAAGACCCAAATATATTACAGTTTAAAATGATATAAAAACACAGGAAAGCAGCAGATCTTCACACTGAGAGTCCTGAAGCAGGTGATGTTGGGTATTTGTATTGATAAAGGACTTGAAACTATTGTTAGTTAATTTTCTGCAGATAAACTAGGGCTGGGCAATACATCAATATTATATTGACACTGACTGTGATATGAGACTAGATATTGTCTTTTTGGATATCAGAATATTGTAGGTGTCGTCTCTTCCTGGTTTTAAAGGCCGCATTAAAGTAAAGTGATTAATTTCTGAACATATCGGACTGTTTTATTATTTGCCTTTACTCATCTAGTCATTATATTCACATTACTGATGACTATTAAAATCTCATATTTTGTGAAAGCACCAATAGTCAAACGATATGGTCATAATATTGATATCAAAGTATTTGGGGAAAAAAAAATCATGATATTTGATTTTCATCATCAAGTCTTAAGATAAGCTAATTGGTTATTAACTAATCTTTTCAGCAAAACACTAATTATTTGTTCTCCAGTAGCGTTAGCTCTTCCACAAGGCCTCGGGTTCAGCTACAGCATAAATACCTTAATTCATTTCTGTCTCTATACAACAGTGTGATGGTACTGCTGCTGTTTACACACTGCCTAAACTCACACCACCTCAGCAAACTTCTGAACTGGACTCGAATGACATCTTCAACATGAGACAAGAACAAAGAGGCCCTTACACAACACTTATCAGCAACCCTCTGTACACAACTGGTTCAAGTTTCACTTTTCAGTAATGAATGTCAACTTTGTCAACAACAATGTCGACAACATCCTGACTTGAAATGAACCTGGGGCCTGTATCACGAAGCGAGATCAACCTTTCCTGGGTTACCCAGACCTATCCTGGGTTGACTAACCCTAACAATGGCAATCAGGATAATCGGTATCACGACGCTGGATATCAACTCGGTAACTCAACCCAGGGTTGCTTTATCAAGAGCTGTGAACGCGCACGCAGCGGACCAATCACAATCATGAGAGAAGCGCAGCATCACTGAGCGTCACTGAGTGTCCTCACAGAGCGCCATATGTGAGGGAGAAAAAAGTATTTCTCGTGAGGATCAGAGATTAATTCTACTAAAATATGAGGAGGAGAAAAGCAACATTACAGAAAAGGCCAACACCGTGGCAGCTGCAGGAGGAGGAAACATGTGTGGCAACGCATAACGGGATGAATAATGTTTTTTTAGTTTAGATTATTTGCACATAATGTTAAAAACAGACAGTATAAAATTTACAAGATTAAAAAAAGAAAAGTGCCGGAGAGGTTAGAAGCCACTAAAAGCTTATCAAAGAAATTCCCCTGTCAAAACATCAATGAAATCACATGATAGAGAAGAAAAAAAAAACGAGTCAGGAAAGAAGAAACAGGAGGAGAGAGGGAAAAATCAAGACAAAACAAGGTAGCAAATAAAATTATGTGTAGGTTAAATTACTCATCACTGGTTCAAGTAGCTACAGTACCTGTACCTGTACATCTGACACTGATCACACCCTTGAATCCCATGAAATCAGTGCTGCGCAGATGAATTGCGTGTATTACAATTATCGTCTAACATCATTGCGTCTGATAAATTGGTCTTCTTTGTCATAACGTTATATATGCTACAATAAAGCTTAAAGCTGACGCCACAATTAAATCATATCAACACCAAATTGATAGTCTGAATAAAATCATCCTGATTTTGAGCTGTGTTAGAAATTAACAGCTGCGCAAAAATATACCTAGTCTCCCTCTTTAAAAAACAAAAAGGAAAATCCCTCAAACACCATGAAGTGTAGACATGATAGGC